CCGGTTCAGTGCAGTGGCCAATGACTGGGAGCCTCGTTTCCCCTGCAGTGATTGTGCTGAGCCAGCCGAGGCTGGGGGGAGGGGTGCAGTGTGAATTGTGGGGCATTCCATGGGATGTGGGTTCTGGGACTCTGTAATCCCTGCCGAGTGAGCCCTTCTGTGCAGTGGGCGGGGGGTGGGTCTGTGCAAAGGAATGTGATGGCTGGCCCATGCTCACCTGGGCTGGCAGACAGCTGGAGCCAGACGAGCCCTGTGCTGCCCATTGAAGTGGGCCGTGACCTGTCCCAGCATCCAAGGACGGAGAAAGTCCTGCTGGCGGAGCGGGCGGCGGTGCCCCAAGGGGCTGCGCAGGCATCTGACCCACTGTCATCCCCTTCTAGGCAGAAGCTGCCGGCTGGGCCGAGGAGGAAGAGGTGAAGTGGGAAGAAGAGACTGACTGGGGACGGCCCCCACCCATTGGCTTCCAGCCCGGGCTTATTGCTTCCACGCCAGTCTAGATTATTACCTCACCAACACGTACCAGGCAGGCGGGCGCCCCCATCTTCCTGCACCGGGCTGCGCCTGGGCCAAAGCCATATGCACGAGGGAGGTGCGTAGCCCGGGCACGGGGGCAGCGGAACAGCTTGAAGGGCTCGTGTGCTGGAGCTGAAGTTCCCACAGACACGTGACTGATACTTTTCTGTCAGGAGCCATCACTACTCTAGAGGAGAGCTGCATCGTTCGGAGAAATTCTACTCGTGGGCGTGCCATTTTATTGGCGCCTGGGCCAAAGCCATATGCACGAGGGAGGTGCGTAGCCCGGGCACGGGGGCAGCGGAACAGCTTGAAGGGCTCGTGTGCTGGAGCTGAAGTTCCCACAGACACGTGACTGATACTTTTCTGTCAGGAGCCATCACTACTCTAGAGGAGAGCTGCATCGTTCGGAGAAATTCTACTCGTGGGCGTGCCATTTTATTGGAAAGAAGCCACAGCAAGGGGGCTCCTTTTAACTCTTTAGCCTGTCCTGTGTCCCTGGGTGACCTATTTATTGCTGTTCTCCCAGGCTGGGGGGAGGGGGCAGCGTGCTGGGAGACCATTGCAAGGGAAGTGTGTTTAACACAGCCTATCAGAGCTCAGAGTTCACGCTGCTCTTACACCTGGCCAATAAAGCTTCTTTTCAAGAGACCAGCAGCTCCGCTGGGCGGCGGCGTCTTAAATGCACTCGAACTACTCCCACGTTCACCGGTAACAGTTTAATACAAAAGTGTCCCCTTGGTGGGGCTCGTGCAGGTGAGTTTTCTCTTACAAAAGGTTCAAACAGCAGCAGGGACTCAGTAACATTCAACATCTTAACTTGAGCACAACACGCTGCTGCCAGAGGGCGACTCAGGAGCCAGGTGTCTCCCTTTCCATCCAGCTTGGTCCCTGGGCAGCTCAGGCTCTAGAACTGCAGCTGTAGCACCTCACCCTACACTGCTTCTGAGAGCAGCTGTAGCTGC